TCTTCATTCCATGCACTGAATACTAAGGGGGCCATTCCATCTGGACACATGCTGTTTTCTGTTGCTATAACAAAATTCCTGAGGCTGAGTGATTATTAAAGTTTACCTTGTCTCTGGTCTAGAAGTCCAAGAGCATGGCACTGGTATCAGCTTGGCTTCTGGTGGGGGCTACATGCTTCTCCATGCATGGTGGTAAAAGTGGAAGAACAAGTTGGGGTTCATGTAAACACATCACATGGCAAAAGAGGAAGCAAGAGAGCAAGACAAGGAAGTCAAACTCTCTTGATAACAACCCCTTCTCAAAGGAACTACATTAATACCTGTCCTACCACCTCTGAGTGCTGTAATGTTGAGGATCAGGCCTCAACATGAGTTTTGATGGGAACAAACCACATCCAAACCATAGCACTTGGTATTTGTCAGTTCTGGGAATGTTTCTTTTATCAGTTCTATTTCTCTATTATATTCTTTAAGATAACCCTTTACATGTCATTCCATTCACTTTTTTAAAGTGTGATGGTTTTTAGTATATTTGCCCAGCAACCATCACTATCATTTTAGAGTATTTCCATCACCCTCACCCCCTTTGACAGCATTCTCTCTCAGAATTAGATTTGACCTTTTCGTGTTTATTTTCTGCTGATTTTGTTGTTGTTATTGGTGGTGGTGGTGGTGGTAGTACTAGGAATTAGATTCAAGGTTTCGTGCAGGCAAGTGCTCTACCACTAAGCCACAGTCTTAGTCTTGAAAGAGAATTTTAAGACTTTATTCAGTCCAGTCTACTTTTTGTAAGACAGAGAAAAAATTTTCACTGTTTTCCTTCAACCTTTCCAACACTTCCTATAACTACTAAATTTCTTGCTTTTAATCCTCTTAGCTTGCTAGTTTTTGGCCTATGAAGAAATGTAATTTCTCTTTCTCTCTTTACAGCATTGAAACATTGATTTTATTTTTTTCCCACATTTTTTATTGGTGCATTATAGTTGTGTATAATGATGGAATTTGTTGTTACATTTGTATGTGGACATAATATAACAACATAATTTGGCCAATATCATGCCCCAGCACTCCCCCCATCTCTCACCCCTTGTTCCTCTACTGATCTCCCTTTTTTAGGAGATCCACACCCACCTTTCTTTTCCTTTTTCTTCTCTAGCATCTGCATATGAGAGAAAACATTCAACCCTGGACCTTCAGAATTTGACTTACTTCACTTAACACGATGGTCTCTAGTTCCATCCATCCATTTTCTGGCAAATGATATAATTTCATTTTTCTTTATGGATGAATAAAACTCCGTTCTGTATATATACCACGTTTTCTTTATCCATTTATACACTGATGGACACCTAGGATGGTTCCATGGTTTACTATTGTGAATTATGCTGCTATAAATGGGTATGCCTGTAATCACTGTTGTATGCTGACTTAAAATTCTTCAGGATGAATATCAGGAGTGGTATAGCTGGGTCATATGATGTTTCCATTCCTTTTTTTAATATATATTTTTTTAGTTGTAGATGGATAAAATACTTTTTTAATATTAATTTTTTAGTTATAGGTGAACACTGTATCTTTTTTTATTTTTATGTGGTGCTGAGGATTGAACCCAATGCCTCACACATGCTAGGCAAGTGATCCACCTCTGAGCCACAACTCCAGCCCCAACCTTTATTTATTTATTTTTATATGGTGCTGAGGATCAAACCCAGCACCTTACACATGCTCAGCAAGCACTCTACCACTGAGCTACAACCCCAGTCCTCCATTCCTAATCCTTTGAGGAACCTCCACCCTGATTTCCATAGTGGTTATACTATTTTACAATCCCACCAACAGTGTAAAAATAGTCCTTTTTCTCCACATTCTCTCTAGCATTTATTATTTGCTTTCTTAATGACTTCTGTTCTGACTGGGTGAGATGAAATCTCAGTATAGTTTTGATTTGCATTTCCCTAATTGCTAATGATGTTGAACATTTTTTCATGTATTTGTTGGCCACTGTATTTTTTCTTTTGGGAAGTGTCTGTTTTGTTCATTTGCCCACTTATTAATTGGGTTATTTGACTTTTTGGTGTGAAGTTTTTTGAGTTCTTTATATATTCTAGATATTAATCCTTTGTCAAAAGAGTAGCTAGAAAAGGTTTTCTTTCATTCTGTAGGTTTTCTCTTCACATTCATAATTATTTCCTTTGCTGTGCAGATTTTAATTTGATACCATCCAATTTACTAACTCTTGACATTATTTCTTGGGCTTTAGAGGTCCTACTGAGAAAGTCATTGCCTATACCTATGTACTGAAGTGTTGATCCTATGTTTTCTTCTAGGAGTTGCATAGTTTTTGCTCTAATTTCCAGGTCTTTTGACAGATTTTGATTTTTACACAGGGTGAGAGATAAGGGTCTAATTTTATTCTTCTATATATAGATAACCAGTTTTTCCAGCACCATTGGTTTTTTGGTTTTTGAGAGAGAGAGAGAGAGAGAGAGAGAGAGAGATTTTTTTAATTATTTATTTATTTATTTTTTAGTTTTTGGTGGACACAACATCTTTATTTATTTTTTTATGTGGTGCTGAGGATCGAACCCAGCACCCTGCGCATGCCAGGCAAGCGCGTTACCGCTTGAGCCACATCCCCAGCCCAACACCATTTGTTAAAAAGGCATCTTTTCTCCAATGTATGTTTTTGGCACCTCTGTCAAGGATCAGATAATCATAGATTTGTGGGTTTGTCTTTGGGTCTTCTATTCTGCACCACTGCTCTGTGTGTCTGTTTTTATGCCAGTTTTTGTTACTATAACTCTGCAGTACAGTTTGAAGTTGGGTATTGTAATGCCTCCAGCATTGCTTTTTTGGCTTACAACTGCTTTGGCTCTTCTGGGTCTTCTTCCAAGTGAATTTTAGGACTATTTTTTTCTAGATCTGTGAAGAATAGCATTGGTATTTTGATGGGGTTTGCAATGAATCTGTATATTGCTTTTGGAAGTATGTCCATTTTAATGATATTAATTCTGCCTATCCATGAACATGGGAGGTCTTTCCAACTTCCGAGGTCTTCTTCCGTTTCTTTCTTTAGTGTTCTATAGTTTTCACCCTAGAGGTTTTTCACCTCCTTGGTTAGATTTTTTTCTGAGGTATTTTAGGGTTTTTTTGTTTTGTTTTTTTGAGGCCATTGTGAATGGAATTGTTTTCCTGATTTCTTTCCTGGCAGAAAGCTATTTATTGACTTTTGTATGTTGACTTTGTATGCCAATCTCTCTTCTTAACAGTGTATACTTCTTCAATATTATTGATAGTCATCTTTATCTTAGTTAATAATCTAAAACACTGTCTTTTCCAAATGGTATTTCTATATTAAACTCTGCTATAACTGTATAGTGAAACTTGGGCTCTCAAGATTGCAAGTCTCAGCTGTCTGTCTAGAGCTAGATTTTTTTTAAATTTAATTATAAACATTTCCAGAAACAAAACTAGAAAGATTATAAACATCCATCACACAGATTCAGCATTACCAAGATTTTTGCCACATTTGCTTAATCTATTTTTTTCTTTGATGAAATTTTACAGAGCAAATTCAAGACATCATGTCATTCTATGTATTTCAATATTTAGCCCTTAAAAGGTGGGGCACTTCCTTACATAATTAAAATGAAATTATGTTATTAATCTAATAAACAATTTTTGTTTCTGCTTGGGAATTTCTGAAGTAAAACCAATCATACAGAATTTCAATACTGATAGGATATAGCCAGATGTGAGTGGTGGGAACATGCGGTTAAGGGAATAATTCTATAAAGCCCACTATGCTGACCCTCACATGTTTCTTTTTGTTTGTTTGTTTTGGAACTGGGGATTGAACCCAGGGGCACTCAACCACTGAGCCACATCCCCAGCCTGCCTTTTTTTTTTTCCCCAATTTTTTTTTTAGTTGTTGATGGACCTTTATTTTATTCATTTATTTATATGCAGTGCTGAGAATCAAACCCAGTGCCTCACACATGTGAGGCAAGTGCCCTACCATTGAGCCATAACCCCAGCATCCCCAACCCTTTTTTATATTTTATTTAGAGACAGCATCTCACTAAGGTGCTTAGGACCTCACTAAGTTACTGAAGCTGGATTTGAACTCACACTCCTCCTGCTTCAGCTTCCCCAGACAGTGGAATTACAGGCATGTACCACCACTCCCAGCTACATGTTTCTTTTTTAAAAGCATTTACCTGCATCCCTGCCTGGCTTAAGTTGACAGGATATGTTGCATTCCTTAGCAAATAACCTGTATCTGCAGGAGAAATGCAGGTCTGAAATGCTAATAAAAAGAATACAAGGGCTGGGGTTATGGCTTAGTGGCAGAGTGCTTGCCTAGCACATGTAAGGCATCGGGTTCGATCCTCAGCACCATACCAAATAAAATAAAGGCATTCTGTCCATCTACAACTATTAAAAAAAGAATATAAGTCACCCTGAAAGGGGTGAAGGGGGGAGGATTTTTGTGACCCTTATACTGACCAGATCCCAGATCAGGATAATTCTCTCTAAACATAAAATCTATAAGAACAGGTTCTAATTAGGACTAATCAGCATGGGTCAAAGTGACCTACAGTTGTCATAACAGTGGGAACCTGAAAGTCTGACATCATCTTGCTGTCAATTAAAAGTCAAGAGGTGGGCATGACTCTCTGGAAATTTCATTGGGAGCCCTCTCTGGGTCTTCCTCCAAGTGAATTTTAGGATTATCTCCCAATAAAACTGGAAAGCCAGAGCAGCATGCCATCCCTCTCCTGAGAGGACCTACTCTTTCCCTTAAGAGTGTCCCCTTTTCCTCTTTTCTATCCCTTCTAATAAATTCATGCCTGTTACCTTGAGTGACATGTCTGAAATCTTTCTGGCATGACTGCAAGAAAGGTCTCTGTGCTACATCAGTCTTGCAGCAGGCCTCTACCCAAAACAACAGTATGAAGTTAGCACTGTAAAAAGAGCAATATTCTATAGCCTCAAAACAATTTTAAAGTGAAGTTTAATATGTTCTGAAATGCAAGGTGCTGACCTGCAATTCAACTAAAGCTGAGCTCAAGAACACCCACTGAAAACTCTTAAAAATACATAGTATCAAAGTCAGTCTTTGTACATTATGTTAATTAAAAACATTATATACAAATATACAGATATGGAACTGTAACATTAAAACATAGAATGTAAAAATGCAATAAAGTGACTTTATAAGTTTTCTTCACGGAAACAGGCTTCACAAATCTAGACATTTATGATTATTAAGATATTATGAGCAACAAATATATAAAAAAATCTAAGCCATGATTAGTAAATTCCTTTGGAAGTGGAGAAAAGTAGTATACATATCAAAAGGGAAACATGGTAAGTTATATGGTCCTGCCTACTTTGCATATTATAAGAGGAACCAAAAGTGCTATAGGAAACTGTAGTTAAATGTTAGAAATATATGTAATACATTTTCTCAGGCTTCCATCAATGATTATCTATTTGACTTACAAATATCCTTAAATGTAAAATTGTTCAGTATTATTGCATTTGTTGTATAATGAAAATTTGCCAGTTAATCTGATATATACTTTGAGCTGAAAGAATTTATGTATAATGAAATAAATGAGGGCTGGGGCTGTAGCTCAGTGGTAGAGTGCCCGCCTCGCACGTGTGAGGCACTGGGTTCGATCCTCAGCACCACATAAAAATAAAGATACTGTGTCCAACTACAACCAAAAAAAAAAAAAAAAAAACACTAAAGAAAAAGAAAGAAATGAGGAATCCTAAGAAAAAAATTATTAGTTTCCAAGTCAAATTATGTTAAATATTCATGAAAAATAAAATTATAGGCCAGAAACACTGGCTACTTGCCAATGTTCATTCTGAATAATAATTCTTGCACAAATAATAGCCATCTTTGTCTTTTGAAGCAAACCCCAAAAAAGCCTAAAATTAATCCCACAAATACAAATTAACTGATTTCAGAATAACAAATTCAAAGCCAGTATTGTCATTTGCACATTAAGTTGATATGCAACTCTAGCTGAGAGGTAGAGCACAGGTGTGGCATGCACAAGGCCTTGGGTCCCAACCCCAGCACTCCAAACAAATAAAATCCTACATATAAAAAAATGCATCTGCTCCTGTATAGAACTGATTTGTTTTCAGCACTGAATGAATCATCACACAGCCTCCCCCTCTTGTTTTAAGGAAAGATATACATCAAGGAAATCAATAGAATACATTACTTATACAATTCCTCAAAAGCAGCAAGGCAGCCAAGAGTTGATGGCATTTAAGGAAAGTAAAAAATTTGCACTCTTAATGTCCACTGATGTGATTTGTGCCAACTTCAAACAAAACAAAACAAAGACCCCCCAAAACCACCACCAACAAAAATAAAACCCAACCTAAAAACACTTTTCACCTAGTATACATGAAATGAAATGATAAGAAACACAATATTATATCATATCCCAGCACAGACTTACTATGTTTGTATCAATGACTCACTAGTAAGAATTATTTGTTGGTTAAATAAAGTCCTGTCTAAGTAGTAGATGGTAATCTAAACACTGACAGCACCTATAGTCTCAAACAAAAGAGCTTATGAATCCAGATTAATTCTCTTTGGCCGCAGTGGATACCATTTTCTCTGGGGGCAGTCTTTAGTTCGCTTTCTTTTCAGTACCATATCAGAGGTTTTCCTGGGAGCAGTCTCCATTGGTGTGGTTTCTATTTGTGTTATAAAGCTCTCGGGTTTAGCATCTGGTTTTCTACAACTGGAAAAGATTTCTTGGTGGATCCTCTGGAGCTGAATAATAGGTTGCATCTTCAAAACTTGGGAAAATCCATCTCCTTGTTCAATCAATGAAGGCAAAGCCTTAAAAAAGTAACAATCAACATCAATCTCAGGTTGTAATACAAACATATGGACGCAGCACTATCTTCAGGTCAAGGCTTTTTTGAGACCTAATTTCTTGGGGTTATGGATATTCTGCTTTTATCTTCAAAATAACAGTTTAAGCCGAGGAATTTTTACTAAAAGCTAAGACTAGAAAGATTTATTCTTATCCTACAATGTCTGGTATTAAAATTAAATTCAACAGAATGGAATAACAGAATTTCAGAGCTAAGGATCTAATGTCTGAAATTCTGTATTTTAGGATTAAGGAGTACTTTGCAAAGCTTGATAATCAAGAAGAGGGATCAGTACATTTTTCTTGTAAAGGACCAGACAGTAAATAGTTTTGCTCTGGAGGTTTGCGTCTCCTACCATAAGAATGCAATTCTGCTGTTGTAATGTGAAAGAAACCTCAGAAAATAAGTGAATGAATGGACATAGCTATATTTTAGTAAAACTTTATTTACAAAAATGGGATAAGTGCGGGGCTGGGGATGTGGCTCAAGCGGTAGCGCGCTCGCCTGGCAAGCGTGCGGCCCGGGTTCAATCCTCAGCACCACAAACAAACAAAGATGTAGTGTACGCCAAAAAAAACCTAAAAAATAAATATTAAAAATTCTCTCTCTCTCTCTCTCTCTCTTAAAAAAAAAATGGGGTAGGCTGAATTTTAGCTTGGCCTACCCTAATTTGCCAATACCCAATCAAGAACATGCTGAGAGAGAGATAATTACTAGAAAATTATAGAATCAATCCAAACCTCAAAAGAATATTACAGAAAATTAACATTAGAACAGGGGAGATTCTGAAGGAGTTTAAAAATAATTTTCATATACTAGAAATCCAAATGTTTCCTGTTTGGATAAAATAAATATCAAACCATAAACATTTTCATTATAATAATATCAAGATTCTCCAGTTGGAGGAGTAGTATAATATAGTGATTAAGAGTATAGATTCTAGGTGAGGTGTGGGGATTGCTCAGTGGTACAGCAAGTCCTTTTAACATATGTGAGGCCTTGCATTCAGCTGCCAAATACCGAGAGAGAGAGAGAGAGAGAGAGAGAGAGAGAGAGAGAGAGAGAGAGAAAATATAAATTCTAGAGCCAAACATTCACGGTTTAAATCCTGGCTTGGCTACCTTAGCATCTCAGTTTCCTTATCTGTAAAATGGGGGAAATATAGTACCTATAACATAGGGTTAGTATAAGGATTAAATGAAGTAATAAATGTAAAGCAGTTACATGGTGCCTGATTCACTCCAAGTAGACAATAAATGTTAGCTAGTATTATTATCCAGAATCATCTAATGGGCTGCTAATACTCAGCCCTTTAGATGATTCTGGATAATAATACCAACCTTTAATATACATTTAATGTGCCTAATAAAGTGTTCTGAATTTTATTGTTGCTTGATACATTTATTAAACATCTATTTATTTATTTTTAAATATTTTTTAGTTGTAGAGGGACACACAATATCTTTATTAATTTATTTTTATGTGGTGCTGAGGATAAAACCAGTGCCTCACACATGCTAGAGGCAAGCACTCTACCACTGAGCCCCAGCCCCAGCCCATTAAACATCTATTTAAAAGACTAAGAATTATAATACCCTAAAACACATATAGATGTTGAGAGTAAATAAGTAGTCATTCATTTTGTTCACTTTATACTTTTTTATCACATAGTTTTTACCTTGACGGCTTCACTGATCACCTTAGCTATGGTTTCCCCTCTGCATTTCAGACTTTCCATGCGAGAATCTATAAAAACATCACCAAGCAATATTAGGTTTTTTAATCAAACAGCAAATCATAGAAGCATTCAGATGCTATCTGGACACAAATCTGTTAGGACCATTTGCTTTAACTTAATCTTCCTTAGATTGTCTTGTAATCTATTAAAACAAACATCCTAGTAAGTTAATTTGGATAAATGAAAAGACTATAAGAACATTAAAACAGTAAAGTAAAACTAAAAGTTAGAGGCATAAGGTAGTAGACAAGATTCTACCATGAGCAGTCCTAATGGTGTGTGCTCCTAGAAGAGAGTGCAATGTTCATTCTATATATTATCTACCATCATATTATAACATCTCTGAACACCATCATCATATTTTAGAATATAGGTTAATACTTAAGCAAAAGATTTTTGAACTTAGATATACAATCAGGCTATGGTGGTTATACTAATATCAAACAAAATAAACTCCAAGTCAAAAGTTGTTATCAAAAAGACTTTATTGATAAAAGGAAGTCAATCAATTCAGAAGCTCTATCAATTATTAACCCAACAAGAGCTCTGTTTTGGTTACTGTTTGCATGGAATATCTTCATTCATTTTTTCAATTTCAACCTGTTCATGCCTTTGGATTTCAAATGACTCTCTCTAGACGGAATATAGTTCAATCATGTCTTTTTTCTCCATTTGCCAACTTCTACTTTGAATTAGAGAGTTTTTAGTCCATTTATATTTAAGGTAATTATTAATAAAGAAGGACTTTTGCCACTTTGGTATCTTTTTTTTTGTATATTATTATACCATTTTTGTTCCTGGGTTCCTTTGTTACTGCCTTCTTTTTGTTTAATTTTTTATAATATACCATTGTTGTTCTTTTTAAAAAATTTTTTTGTTGTTGATGGACCTTTATTTTATTTATCCATATGCAGTACTGAGAATTGAACCCAGCACCTCACACATGCTAGGCAAGTGCTCTACCACTGAGCTACAACCCCAGCCCCCGTTTTTGTTCTTTTCTGTTCATTTGTAGTATAATTTTCTAGATAATTTGTTAGGCTACAACTGATAACTAGTACAACATGAAAGCAATTTTCAAATCAATATATTAAGGCCTATGCTAGGTGAAAATTAAAATTCTCAGCAAGTGCTATAGTTTGGATCTTTAATGCCCCTAAAAACTCATGTGTTAAAGGCTTGGTCCCCAGTTTGGCACTATTAGGAGATGGTGGAAATATTTAGAGGTGGGGTCTAGCAGGAGGGCTTCAAGCCACTGGGGGTTTGTCTTCCACAAGGGGGTTGTGGAACCCCAGTACCTTCCTCTTCTCTCTTTCCCTTACTAGCCATGAGGTGAGAAGTTTTATTCTGTTGCACATTCCTGTCACGATGTGCCATGATAAGGCCAACTGATCGTGGACTGATACCTCTAAAACTGTGAGTTGAAATAAACCTTTTCTTTTCATAAGTTGATTATTTCAAGTATTTGTTATAGTAACTGGTGAGTAATACAGTGATTTATTTTTAAATATATGCAGATATTTCTTTGCAACTAAAACAAACCTCATTTAAAATTTCAAATATATCTAAAGATATGATACCATGTTAAACTTTCAGTTTTTGACTGAGCCTTATATGATATACTAACAATATCAAGTGGTAAGGATATGAAGCAAGTGGAACAATTACCATGCCTGCTGATTGAAATGTAAACTGGAAAACTTTCTGCAGTAGCTATAAAGACTAAATATATGCCTATCACATGACACAAAAACTATTTCTAGATTTATACCCATAAGAAATGAGTACAAAAACAGTATATGAATATTCAGAGTTGCACTACGCATATAGCCCAAATCTTCAAACAATCCAAATGACAATTAGTGGAAGAACAGAATAAACTGTTTATAGACACATGGTAGAATACTACACAACAATGAAAAAAACTTTTTTACTACCCTTAAAACATGGATGAAATCTCAAAGAAACAACTCAGAGCTAAAGAAGGCAACACAAGAGTACATAACTGTACAATTCCATTTATACGAAGTTCAAGAACAGATAAAACAAATCTATAATGATGTAAGTCAGAAAAGTGGTCACCTCTAGTAGAAGTAGAATACTGACCAAAAAGAGGTATAAGGAAACTTTTGGGGATACTGGAAGATACTGGAATGTTACACAGAGTGTCTATAAAATTAGGAAACAGGATACACATGTGTTAGTTCCATTTTCCAATGATATGCTCAATATCTTTTTTAAAGCAATAGGCCCTATTGTTAATCTAAAAAAATGTAACAAATACACTATTTTACTTATGCTTTCAGATTCTTTTGATACTCCAAACTATATTTATTGTATAATTATAAACATAATGGGAACATTATTTGAAAATGCAGAGCTTAAAAATAAGTATATCCTTCTTTCCAACTATGCAGATACTGTATACCTAAATCAAGGTGGCAGGTACATGTATATATGTGTATAAATTCACCAAGCTGTGCACTGCACGTTATACCAACACACAGACACACACACACAATGAACACAATATATTTTAGCATTTACTGTAGAAAGTTATCTTACTTTTACTTACATAGTAAGGCAATCCTAATCTTCTTCATTGTTACTGCATAGTTTACAAAATGATCTATCACCTGAGTGATTCTATTCAATGTTTTATTAACAGTACCAATAATTATGTTCACCAATTTGTGAAGCCTTCACTATGATTCTCTAATTGGAAGATTCTTAGAGACTAAGAACTATCAATGACTAATGTAAAGAATTCCTAAAACACCTCATTACTTTTTTGGTCTATAAACTTATATATTGCTGAACAACAAAGCTTTCCATCTGTTACACACGCAATGCAAAAGTAGATTGGGCTTGTATACAAAACGTAGTTAGGTCCTAAGTTTGAATACAGATTGTCACACATGAATGTCTGAAGGGATATTCTAAAGTTGTGCAGGACATATAAGACATTTAGTATCCCTGGCCTGAGTATGAAATGCCAGCTATACCCTTCTCATTACTATGGTAACTCAAAAATGTCCCCCAACTTTTTAAAAAGGACCACTAGGGGGCAGTACCTGCTCCAAGGAGAACTCTAGTATTCTTTATCTTCTAGAACTACCTTGGGAACAGGAACCTCATGCTCTCATCTTATGATCTCTGGTGTTGAACACCTAACATGTAGAAGAAGTGCACAATAGTTATGATGGAGCTAGGCTATATAATAGAGAATACTATACAGGCACAAAAGGGTGAGGTCAATCTAACAGGAAAACTGAAGGGAAAAGAAAATCACAGGTATTGTAAGAGAGCTGCCTTAAAAGAGGATTTGGTGCTTGGAGGAGCTTGGAGACTATAGGGGTAGGAGGTAGGTGGCAGAGGATATGCTATACCAAAACAAGGGAATAAATCAAGAAACAGGAGAAAACAGGAACCAGGAAATGTGATCCAAAACAGGAGACAAGTAAAGGAAATTCCCAGAATGATAATGAAAGGAACAGATAGGATGAAAGCTCTCTGCAGCAGGCTTAGAGAGTACCCAGTCCAGATTTGGAATAGGAAGGTGGAAGGTTCCCAGATTATTTCCAAGAAAAGAAAGGAATTTAAAAGTGGATTTGATGGATAACCTGAAGTGTTTGGGAAAGAACGAACCAAAAAGAAAATTAAAGCAATTATCATTCCAGAAGGGAGCAAAAAACTATTCAAGAAAGAAATACACTCATAGTAATAATTACCTGACTCAGATTGAAGAACATTTATATAGTCATAACAATATAAATACTAAATACTACTGATTTTTTTTACAAGAATGACTGAGATTTGGTTAAAAGTAATGCTTGTGAGATGATTCTATTAAGAAATCTGACAATGAAAGGGAAGATTTCAGGAAAGAAATACAACATGAAAGCTTTCTCTACTTGTTCCTACTTAGCCCATTCCTACAATAGTACATGTTGCCATGCCAATCTACATTATGTAATTTTAGTAACCCTGTAAGGCAAGCAGATTTCATTTGCCTTCTTTTATAGGTTAAAAAAAATTAGATGCTGAGAAACGAATCTACAATTGAAGAGAATTAGAATTTACATCTCCTAGAATCCAAAGCATGTACTCTTCTATATTCTATATGTAACTTTCCCAAATACCACTTTGCCAGGAATTACACTATCTTCAGAAGAACAGAGGTTATGAAATATTTAAAAGTTAGCTCAAGCAAGGCTGAGGATATAGTTCAGTAGTACAGAGCTTGCCTAGCATGCACAAGACACTGAGTTTGATCCCTAGCACCACAAAAAGAAAATTAGCTCCAACATAATGAAAATATCTTGAAACAAAAATAATTATGCCTGATAAAGAATTAAAATAGCACAATTATGGAGTTAAATGTTTTAACTATTAACTTTATAATATTTTTGAGTTAAGTAAATTAAATTCTTTGCATTTAAAAAACTAAGCAGTATCAATAATTTTAAGAACAGAACTAAAGATTTTTAAAAAGAGACAAGGTAGGAGGAGACACATTTAAAAAGATCACTAAATATGTGACTATGCTGTCTGATAATGGAATAATAAGTAATTTCCAACATTAATATCTGTTTAGGAAATTTCAAAATATACAAACATCTCACTCCCTCACTCAAGATTACTCTATGTGAATTTTTCACATTTTTTAACTGTGAGAGCATATAGGTACTCCCAATTCAAAATCTAATTTAAGAATGTCTCACATGTAGATGTCTGGTCCAGGCCATGCAGAATATGGAATAGGCAGAAGCATTCTCAATAGCCTCAATAAGACAATTTTGCCAGGCACAGTGGCAGAAGCCTATCATCTCAGTGACTCTAGCAGCTGAGACAGGATAGCAAGCTCGAGGCCAATCTCAACAACTTAGGCCCTAACCACTAAGCAAGACCCTGTCTCTAAATAAAAAATAAAAAGGGCTGGGGAGGTGGTTCAGTGGTAAAATGCCCATGGGTTCAATACCCAGACTAAAACACACACAAAAAAAAA